CGTATGAGCGGAAGGGTGGCGGGGAGGATGGGGTTGGCGAGTCGGTCTGGTCTGGCCGCGGTGGTGTAATTACTGGGTACGAGGCGAGTCGCCAACAGGTCGACCGGCGGATCGATATATCGATCGATTCGATACTCATCATTGCTCAGCGGGGGATTTCTCGATGGAGCTCATTCGATAATCGAGTTGCGAGTGCAATGAGCAATGAGCAATGAGCGGTAAGCGCGGGCAATTCCGCGAACCTGGTACCGCGCACGGAGTCGGGACGACCGTGAAACTGCACCGATGCACCTGCGCTCTTCCGCCGACCGGAATGCGCATGCGTAAACGTCGTATGAGCCTCCGGACGTTGCCAAACTTCCTACGCCGAATTGCCATGCACATTTTATACTGCTTCATCTGAAAGTGCTTCAAGAGCTGATTTCACGGCTTTTTTAAAAAAAATTTTCTGATGTGGGAAATAGTATAAAAATAGATTTAAAAGTGAGAAAATGCACCGCCTTGTGACGGCATCTGGCGGCATTTCCCATTTAAATGCATGTGTTTTATTAGATGGGATCCGTTTTTTCGAATCTTCTCCAATAACTGTCCAATTCATGAACCAAGGGTACAGCCTATAGTGACGTCATCTGGCGGCATTTCCCAATTAAACACATGCGTTTTAGCATATTAGATTCATTTTGTCAAACTTCTCCAGTAATTGTTCAATTCATTAATCAAGGGACCCTCGTGTTCAGTTCACTCAGTAGTTACCACTTAAACGCGAAATTCATCAAATTTCGGACACCTGTGGATTCTCTGCAGCGTTTACATTTTCATCGCAGCTCTTCGGCTGAAATTTGTTACGGGTGTCTGAGACAAACACCCCCCTCCCCCTCCTCGAATTTCTGAACTAATTTGCAGTGCACGGTTGCGAATAGGTTAAAGCCAGGAAAAGACGGGTTTGGAAAGTGAGATGTGACACAAGACGCATGGGCTTACGTCGTTCTGGAATTTTCGAAAAGTCGCGACCTTTCGAATCTTACGCCTTAAGGACTTGTCTCCACGAGACGTTTTCATGGGATTTGTCTCAAGTTCGAATCGCAGAAATGAAACTTCTGGGATTTTTCCCAGTTACCGTCTCCACGGGACGAGGCTCATACGGTCCTGGGACTAGTTTGCGCGGAAAGATAAATTAGATAAAGTCGAGTATGTAACCGGGATTAAAATAATAATTGCACTCAATTGACAATTAGACACGTTATTTTAACTGAACAAACATGAAAAATAGAGTAATCAACAAAATATCGCACAATTCCTTTTCACTTCTTCTTCCTCTCTCAGTGGGTCCTAGGTGTACAAGGACCATACTTGGTACTAGGAAAAATATTGATTAACTCAATATTTTTCCCAACTTTGTAAGTGGGATTTTTCCCTGGGACAAATCTCGTGAAACGGCCCGTGGAGACAAGGCCTTAGGCTGTAGCCTATGTAGCCTAATGGCAAACCCGGTCCTGGAAACTTTTGCACGTTACACTCTCAATTTTGCTGATGATTTTTTCCTCATTGAGTATAAATCCACACCGAAAGTCGTCATACACCATGGTATCGAGCATTTTGCTTAATAGTGGTTTCACTTTAAAGTTTGGCGAAAAACTGGTCCATTACGTCTATAAGCCCATCTCAGATGTTTCTCCCCTAAAAGTTTATTTCGTAAAACCTAACATAAGATGCAGTTAATATAACGCAAAATATTGTGATTACGATTAGTCAAATTGAACGGCTAATAACTGTCTAGGGCGTATACTTTCAGCCTCAGGTTTTACATGATAGATTTTTCGGGAAAAATTCCTTAAAAGTAGTACACGGAAAAAAACACTTCGTGCGTGGGACCCGAAGTTTAGGTCATAATATGGATCTCTGAAGTTTTCGGATTGAGCATCTGAACACTTTAGGTCCAGCTGCTGAGGTTTGGATCACACATCTGAAACTTCAGTTCTTACATCTGAAGTACTTCGGTTTTCACATCCGAAAAACTTCGGTTCTCACATCCGGAACACTTCGGTTCTCACATCTGATGTACCTCAGATGTAAGAACTGAAGTTTCAGATGTGTGATCCGAACCTCGACAGCTAGACCTAAAGTGTTCAGATGCTCGATCCGAAAACTTCAGAGATCCATATGACCTTGACTTCGGATCCCACGCACGAGATTTTTTTCTCAGTGTACTAGGCGTAATACAACCTTTTATTGCCAAAAATTGAAAAGGAAGTCAATATTTTGGGAAAATTTGTTCCACATCACGATGTTTTCTTGCTACCGCTGTAGATTTACAACTTAATCCGAAGTACTACTATTTTCGCCGAAAATAAAAAAATTTTAAGACGAGATTTGACAACACTCAAATGTTAATGCGGCGTTTTGCTTTAGTATGGTAGAATGCGCATGCGTGGAGTGCTGGGGNGGGGGGGGGGGGTTGCCTGGGCTCAGCGCGAACTCCTCCCACAATTCGAGAGACTGTCATGCCCGGCAAAAAGAGACCAACGTCATTCTGCCGTGCTAAGGAAAAACGTCGTGAGAGAATTTAGACGTTGCAAAATTTCCTTCGGCAGATCATTGATTTTCGGGAAGATTGGTAAATATTTTTCTCCCGAATTTTTAGAGAGTTTTGTTCTGAAAAAAAAACCGGGTTGGATGATTTCAGCACCCCTTCAGGATCCCTTGTTCAATTTCCTGTAGAATTTAATGGAATTATTGTTAAACTTTCCCGTAGAATGACATAGTTTCCATTGTTTATTTATTAAATGTCAAATATGTATTACATGCATTGTTTATCTGTTTGTATCCAAAAGAAATGTTTTGAGGAGAATTATTACCAAAGCTGAATTGCAAGTCAAGCCTTGCAGATGACAGGATCCTTTGTTGTTAAATTAAATTTTATCCCTTTTAACCTACTTGTACTATATACCAAACTTATTCGAGCTGTACTGTGACTTTTTTGAGGTTGAGCTCAACTGACTCATTGGCGGCATCGATGAGTTCGAGTACAACTCAATTGAGCTTGGTGTTGCACGTGCAACACCACTTCAGGTTATAAGTTGCGTCTAACATCGGTACGTATTCACGACTCATCTTCACGAAACTTGATTCTGAACCCGTGGAGGGTCAGCCAAACCCGACCTTCGTTGTCTTCATGATTACTATTGTGGAGCTTTTTGAATTCTCTGTAACTGAGTTTGCTCTCCTTCAGATATTTAATCAGTTGGTCGTTGAGGCGGCAGCCGCCTTGCTCGTCGGGCAAAGTGATCTGAAAGCGATAGTATTTTCCAGTACCATCTACGATAATATCTTTGCTGGGTTCGATTTTCCCGATGTTGTGCGCGATACTGTCTTCCTTATGTTTGACTTTCCAGGTACTGTGTCCGGCAGGATCTTTGCTCTCCTCGACTTTCATGAGGATGAACCCGTACTGGAATTGACACTGCTCGGTCGGGTTCTTTGCTTTTCTATACACTACTTCAGCCAAATATGTTTCATCCTTAACATGTGTCGTTCGTCCTAGCTGCTTCCGTCCGTTCGTAGATGAAGCTGAGGCGCCGTGATTCGTAACTTCGAAACCGTGCCGATGTAACCACTGACAGACTTTCTGGCTGCACTGCGGTCCGCCCGCCTTTAGTAACTCTTCAAATTGTTCAGAGTGGAAACACTTTTCTCTAACGGCGCGGAACAGATCGCTGATGACTTTGCACTTACAGCTCCACTTCCCGTTATCATACACCATAACTATACCATCAGCGATCGGTTTCATTAAATTGTCAAGTTTCACTGATCCGAACTTTTTCTTGCACTCGTTAGTACAAGCCTTCTGCCTCCTCGCTTGGCGTTCATCTTCCGTTTCAGCTGCAGTTGAAGATGATGGAGGTTTCTTTTCAGTGATATTGGTGGAGTGCTTTCCAGTTTCGCTGGAGGAGTGCTTTCCAGTTTCGCTGGAGGAGTGCTTTCCAGTTGTGCGGGTGGAATGCTTTCCAGTTTCGCTGGTGGAGTGCTTTTCAGTTTCGCTGGAGGAGTGCTTTCCATTGCTGTCAGGGGAGTGATATTCAAAGGGGTTTTCAGCACTTATTTGGAAACCCTTTTCTTTTAACCACTCCTTGCCATTTTCTGGATTTTTTTCAAACAATGTTTTAAATTTGGTTTCGTCATATTTTAGCATTGCAAGGGTAGAAATCAAAGGTCTGAAGATTCTGCAATGGCATTTCGTGCCCTGTAACTCTCCATCCGTAATTGGATACCAACTTCCAGCGCAGAGAATATACCCATGTTTTTGGTGACATGCTTCTCTGCATTGTTCAAGGGTCGTGGGCTCTGAAATTGATCAAAGTTATGAAATATTATAACCATCGTCCACGGGAGAGGGATCATTGATAATAAGAAAAAAAACTAGAGAGCCGAGTTGCTTTGCTTTACTTCATCGACGCTCATTTCACTATTACGAAAAAGAAAAACATTTCTTATGGATTTTTTTTTCGGTGAGAAAATGTTATTTTTTACATAACGATTAAAATTGGAATTACTGGTACCATCACTTGGAGGAGTGCTATACGATTTTTTTTTTGCACAATAAACGCCAAAGAATGTCAAACAAAATCGGAACGATAGTTTTTTAAAGTCTACAATTAAATACAATAAATCAATACAATGGGGTAGTTCCATGGAATTTTTTAAATTCAATTTCTAAAAGTTTGAGGTCTACTGAGTATTGAGGTATTTTTTTAAAAAAAATTCCGGTCACCGGAACTGAAATTTCGGAAAGGACACCTAATTTTTCTGCAGACATTGATGGAAAATCTGCGATGAAAAATCAAAGATGTCAATGTCAAAAGTCAAAGATGAATCAAAAAAAAAAAGATGAAAATCTTGATGAAAGCCTCAAAATGCGTCTAATTAGATTACAAATTTCCAACATTGTTCGGGGCAGGACCCCCGGACCCCCTCCGGACTGAGCGGTATACCATACCCCCCAGACTTCCCAGTAGTAGAAGAACCCCGCAAGCCCCCCCCGAAACAAAATCCTGGGTACGTGCCTGCTACTCGCCGCTCAAGACGCGCGTCTAGCTCGCAGGTGTATCTGCCCTTTAAGAGGCCCCGGCCCCATGTGGTTTATACTCTGATCAAGAGAGTTTTATTTTAAAGGGTGGGGGAGAGATACGTAGAAAGCACTTTGTGAATTTGTATAATGATTTTATGTGAATGAATGTTTAAGACTAATTTAAGTTACCATCGTTNTTAAATTAGTCTTAAACATTCATTCACATAAAATCATTATACAAATTCACAAAGTGCTTTCTACGTATCTCTCCCCCACCCTTTAAAATAAAACTCTCTTGATCAGAGTGTAAACCACATGGGGCCGGGGCCTCTTAAAGGGCAGATACACCTGCGAGCTAGACGCGCGTCTTGAGCGGCGAGTAGCAGGCACGTACCCAGGATTTTGTTTCGGGGGGGGGGGCTTGCGGGGTTCTTCTACTACTGGGAAGTCTGGGGGGTATGGTATACCGCTCAGTCCGGAGGGGGTCCGGGGGTCCTCCCCCGGAAAATTTTGGACATTTGTAATCTAATTAGACGCATTTTGAGGCTTCCGTGACGCAGATTTTCCATCAATGTCTGCAGAAAAATTAGGTGTCCTTTCCGAACTTTCAGCAAAAAATGCATTCCAAAAGATCCTGAAAATGTTTGAAATTTTAAGTCTCTTTGGACAAATCAAGGCTTTTGTAACACAGATTTTTCATAAATTTATGCAGAAAAATTACGCTTTTTTTACTTTAACACAAAATACTTATACGAATTGTTACATTCAACAAAGCTGGAAAATTTTTGAAATTTCAAATCAAATTAGACGCATTTTGATGCTTTTCTGACGAAAATTTTAGGAATGAACACGGTATTTACATTTAAGACAAAAGAGCCATCAGGCACGTATATCTTCGTATATCTTTGACAGTCTCAAACTTCTGCTTTTCCCGCACTTTCTCATCTTCTGTCTCCTCTTTCCTTCTCTTTTTCCCTCCTTTTTTTGCTTTCGAAGGAGGGGGGGGGGGCTTGAGCCCCCCAAGCCCCCTTCCCCCCTGGATACGTGCCTGGCGAGTTCGGCAAACTTCGTAGCCAATCAGGTCGCAACTCGCTACTCGTAACTCGCTCAAAGTAGAATCGGATCCTACTTTTCGGGGCAAGACGCGCTTGTAGCGCGGGGGTGTATCTGGCTCTTTAGGGAAAAGAGCTGTTTAAGGTGAATCCAGGGTTCGATTAGGGATAATTTAAGATTAGAGAAAGCGCCACCAGTCACCACTGAGAATTTCACTTTCCTTTGACGATTATTGAAATAATATTCTTCAAATTACAAAAAGCAGATCCACAAGATATAGATTATTTTTTGAGCCAGAAGTACTGGCAATTAGAATTGCAAGCGCAGAGAAAGTACGGCTGAAACTTTCGGCTCACAATCAGCGGTGGCGGCCGAGCGCGCAACCGAATCCCTCTTGTTCTGTCTCTCTCTCTCTTTCCCATTGCCGCAATGGGAATTACTTTCCGCCATAGTTACGACTTTATTTCCGGAATTTTTTTACTGAATGTTCCTCAAGTATGTTGCGATATCCCCTGGATCCTCAATCTTGAATAAGTATTACGGTTTTCATTATTTTGGCAAATATGTACGGCTATTCTGAGCGGCGCGACGTGGTGGCCATATCGCGAAGTTCGAAGCCTTGATTCACCTTAAGGAACGACTATGAACGCAACCTTGGATGCGAGAAGTTGAGGGATGAATAATAGGCGAAGGGATAACTTACCACAGAGAGTTGGAATAATGATAAAAAGGTTCACGACGATGAGACTGCCGAGGAATGTCATGACGCGGCTACATATAGGAGAGACACTCAATCGGAAGTAAAACGTTCGGAAAATCCTTCTAATCGAATGTGAGGCCAGTTGCAAAATTCAATTTATATTTGCTGTCTGACTTGCGTGGCTCGAAAAGTAACTAATATTACAACAGCTGTTCTGTAACTTCATAATCCGATTCAAATCGAGAAAAAGTTGATTAAAAGCTGGTTTTCCTACTCCGAGAGCCTGCTGATCTCCCCACGTCCCTGTTATGAGATTGCATGATAAACGTAACGGGTTCCACTTCATAACAATTTTTTAGGGGCTTTTCCGCGGGAACAAACAGTTTTTTTGGGGTTTTTTTTTCGTGAACACGAGCGATATGGAAGGCGCAAGACTTTTTCACTGGATACGGTGAGTTGATATGAGTAATGTCTGCACCACATCTGGAAAATCCCCCATAATTTTGTAATTTTGATCATTTTGATTACCTGCTCTCGTTTTTTGGGGCATAAAGACTCGGTATTCTGGTTTCCGGAACTGAATACTGCACGAGAAGCCTTCATGCTTTCAGGGGAAAAATAACTCGAGTCGTGATGAGTCTGTTGCAAAATTCAGCTGGTGCAAAACTTCCTGACGAAAACGGCTCAAAATGGCTTCTGTCGTAAAGTCGTATCTCAAATTCCACATGAGCTCTGTTCTCCATACGACTCTATACTTTCCGGGTCTCTTATGGAGATGGAGACACGCCCTAACGTCAGAGACTTTCATAATCGAGACTTTATTGTACCCGATGAAAAACTTGCAAAATAAAAACAGTGTGGAAAGTTAGGGAGCGGCCCAGACACAGAGTTGCACATGTGAAATGATAAATATGAAAGATTGGAAATTTCGGTGAAACATTTCATGAAATTTTATGGGGGTTCAATTGTCACTTCCTCGAGAAGATTCGTTACTTTTTCTCTCGGTTACCAAATAAAAAAAAAATTCATAAAATTTCACAAAGTTGTGAAAAATATTAAACAGATTTTCATGGCCTGAGTATGCAACAAGGGTTAAAAACACGAAAACTCAAAAGCCATTCCTTTAATTTTGCATGATATTTCGAAAAATATTTCACAATATCTCTCATATTTTTTAGAAATTTCATGTAATATTTCACATGAAATTTTGAGATTTTATTTTCCATGACAAATCGCAACACCACCCACACCACATGGCAGCGCTCTTACTTCACAGGCACTTTAGGATTCACTAAGCACGTATTCCTGGTTCTTAAGAGATCCTGAACCTGATGGACCGAAATTTGGCAAGAATGCTTTCGAGTGGATGGTTGGCTAAATTAGGACTCTCTGGGCCGATGGCTTTGTGGCTGGAGTTGTTTGGGGTGAGCGACAAGATGCAACGTAAAGTACTGTTGCGCAGAACGGGGCTCATAACACAATCAATTGGCTCGCTGCTTCTTATTTATTAGTTCCCGGAATCTTGTTCCCTAACAATAACCCAATCTCGACCTCCCTTCTCACCTTCGCGTTCAGGTGTTCTTCGCGAGTCGGGGTTTCTCGTCTTCATCCCCCTCCGTTCCCAACCCTCCGGCATCACACCGAAGATGAATTAATCACGGCTGCTGGGCTCTAGTGTTGGGGATAATTTCGAAAAATCGATCAATCGAATCGATTCGACAGTCTTCGAGAGTTAAAATCATGACCAAAAAAAAATCGATTTCCCGACGGCTTTAACTCGCACTCTTAAAAAAAAAATCGAATGAAAATCTCGGGGAAGTTTGCTAAAATTTTGGTCTTATAAAAATCGGCTCCCGTACCGAGTTTACACACCTAGGTGGCGAAAATCGGAATTTTCGATTTAGAGGAAAAATCGGTTAATCGGAGCTAATAAAGTCGATGGGATTTAACAGATTCTGTCGGTGAAAAAAATCGATTAAAAATCCCCAACGCTGGGTTCCTGGCTCTTGACTAACTATAGCGCCGGCTGCTCTCTTGATTTTTGAGTTTCGGATAGATTTTGACTTTTTCTTCCTTTTTTGAGCACGTGTAAGTAGGGAGTTGTTGGCGCAAATAATTGCTCTTGAACCAAAGAAAAAAAGACGAGTAAAACTTTGTTAGAAATCTGGTTGCAAAAAGTTGACATAAAACAATCTAAGCATTCTTCGGAAAATTGACAATGTCGCGATCAAAATCAGTGCTACTTGACGTTTACTCCATCGACACAATACGATGATGGAAGTAAGTTAAGCTGTTATAAGAGAAGCATGCAAAGTGTTCGTAGTTACGACGTACCTATTTGGTTCGATACAACAACTCAGAACATCTCGTAACAACGGTATTTTGTTCGGATGTTGTTTATGTTAAGGGGCGTGGCCTATTTTTATTCTTTTATATATTTTGCACCATTTGGCAACGTTCTTAGAACATTGTTTCGAAACAATTGGAACTTCCTCAAAGCATGTGTCGGCGAGGTTGTGACAGGATTTCGAACCTCACTTTTGGCAGCTCTACCGTCCTTGGCTGCGAAATAAAGTAACGAAAATAAGACGAGACACAAAATAAATAATAATAAAACAAAAAACAGTCGTTGTGGCGAACAAAATACATCTTTACTCTTGCAAGCGACGAACCAATAATATCTTCCCATACCAGGCCATTGTTGTTTGGCTCTGTCCCGTCTTTCCAAAAATGCTAGGAATCTGGAGGAAATAAACGTTAAAAAAGTGTTTTTTACCCTTCTGAGAGTAGATTTACACAGGAGATTTTTAGACCCACGGTTCTCGGCACGCAAGACCGTATTAGCTAAAATGTGGCTGAATCACATAATCGATTGAGAAAAGAATATTTAACGGTGAAAATGAAGCCATATACACAAGAAGAAGAACGCAACCCGCCATACGTATACATGCTCACACACTCATACGTATTTCCGCTATGGCCCGGTACGGGGAGATGGTACTGGGCGAACACTAAACGAAATTCATTATAACGCCTGGATGCAACTATTCGGGCTCCGGGGATGTCCGTATTGCATACGCCTCGTATTGAAGGCGTTTTGACTCACCTGGCACTCACGGCTTCACCCGCGGCGCGGAGGCGGGCTCTAACTTTAAATTTCTTGAACATGACTTAGATAGCAGACATTTGACCTTAGAAGGTTCGAAACGTCCTTTGTCGCAATTTTTTTGAATGATAACCAACAAAATCTGTGCACTCAAATAAATTTTGGTAAAGAAGAAGAAGGAAAAAAGCTCCAGAGTCCCTGCTCAATCTCGATCTTATGGTTCCGCTTGTTCCACTCAGAGCGGCAAGGAACGATTCAAAGGAGCGCAACATCCTTTGCCGTCGCAAAATACTTGGAGTCATTTACGTTTCAAAGGAACGGCAGTAATGGGCGCAGATCCCATGAGCTGATAGAGTTCAAGTTGGCTCCCGTATTTGCTTGACACACGCACCTTAGTGCTGGAGCCACGCCGCACAATGGTTCGAGTCAATCAGAGAGGTCGGACATGAAATTTTTGGCTACAATTGCGAATGTTGATGTTAATTTGGTCACATTTTAAAATTTAAGGGAGGTTTCTGGAAGAAAATTTCACGAGGAAACCAATGGAGCCGCTTTTAGAACCTCAAAGTTGCGTATAAACGGAGTTATGAGCTTTTGAAGTTTTCAAATTTTGTCCGACCTCCCCCATGGACTCAATCCACTGTGCGCCATGCCGCGCCGAATGGTGGAACGAGCTAACAGAAGAGGTCCAACATCGTGGTGTCTACCAAGTGTAAAAAACCAAAATTGGGGACTTTCGGGGGCTTTTACGGGTGTTTTTTCAAGAAAATCGGGGAATTTTTTCACCGAAATTGTAAGAGAAAGGGAGCTAGTTAGAGCGTTAAAAGGCGTAATCAATACGACTAATTGTAAGACATATCGAACCGATGAAGACATACGAAAAACCAAGCAACACTCCAGTTTTTTCATTCTTGGTTATACCGCACCGCCGCGCCGTAGCTGGCGAGAAAATTTGAAAATGCCCGTGTCTATAGGACGATTTTTGTCATTTTTTGGGGACCTGAACAAGAAAATGGGAGACTTTCGGGGATACCGGGGACACCCTTCCAAAATCGGAATTTTTTTTTTTTTTATGTTGTTTTAGGCTTTATATCCATAAAATCGGAGATGATCGAGGACATTGGGGACTTCTGGGGGCCAGCAGACACCCTGGACATGAGTCTGACTAAAATTCCAAATTTTCATGTTTATTTCGTCACAAATTCAATTCCATTGGGTGTTTCTGAGGGATACTTCAAGAAAAACCGATGAAACCACACTTGAACTCTTTTTAATCGTATTTTCAGAAATATAAGCTTTCAAAGTTTCCAGATTTTGTCCGACTTCTCCAGTGGCGTGGCGTGCTTTGCGATGTATCGATTGATGGGCCATTTAAACCTATGGGAAAGTATCGATAAACAGGGTGTTGGCTGCGAACACCTTAATGATCGATTTTTTACCACATCTTCAAATGGGGAAATATCGATAGATCTCAAAGCACGCCACGCCACTGGACTTCTCCAACGACTCGGTCCACTGTGCGGCGTCGCGCCGCGATCATGTCGTGCGTCAGAAGCTCCCAGACATGAAAACAAAGCATCGATGTTTCATCGAGCGTGCAATAGGAACCTGAAAGAGATCCATTTATCTACATGGCAGATACGCCTCGTCTTCCCAGGTAAATTATTAGTCAACAATTTATTAATTGGTGTCGAAATATTACATTTTCTTCACGTTAAAGTTAGCTGATAATGATAATTTGGAACAATAAATTAGATAAATTAATAGGGTGTCTAATTTTTTTTTCATTTTGGGAAATCCTGATTTTCGACTCCTAAATCTTGATTTCATACTTTTTCAAAATCCTGATTTTTTGCGGGTAAGAATTAAAATTTCTGCATAAGCGTATGCGAAAAAAAATCCGATCGGACAGCCTTTTCTCAAATCCTGATTTTACGACCGATTTTTCCTCGAATCCTGATGAAATCGGGATTAAATCCTGTTTGACCTCAAATCCTAGTAGAATCGGGAAAATCCTGATGCTGGACACTCTGATTAAGCTGAGTA